CAAGGGGTGTGGGTTGGGGATTGGCGCCTTGGTGCAGGACGGAGCTGGGTGGTGCCGATCCGTGCGTCGGGTGAGGCACACCAGGGGCGACTACCAAGGTTGACATGGCACCAGTAGAAGGGGAGTCCAGGGAGGGGGCTCCAGCCCCAGGGCAAGGACGGCCGCTTCCTCCAAACCCGCACCCCACTGATAGGGGCACCGGGGCCGCCCTGCACCCGCCCTCCCAGGATTGAACCGGGCCTGCAACCCTGAAACGCACCTGTGGTGACCTCCCAGAGCCGCAGCGACCCGTCCTGGCCACCCGTTGCCAGCCACTGGCCGCCGGGGTGCGGCGCCAGGCAGCGCACCTGGGGGGGGGCCAAGGGTTTGCGGGGGCGGGGCCAGGTCAGCCGTTGGTGACTAACCCAAAGGGGTCGGGAGGAGCCCCGTCAAGGGCTGAGGAGCGGCTGTGTTGGGCTGAACGCTCAGACGGCCAGCGACCGCCGGCACACACTCCTCTTTGGCAGCTGCCGAGGGGGCATGCCCAGCCCCTTCCCAGACAAGCACTTGCTGTTCTGACACTGCCACCGCCCCACGCACGCCGCGTCGCATCCTTCCTGTTGGAACCTACACGACCTTGACAGGCACAGTCGCAGCTCCGGCCCCAAATGGGATGGAATAAGTGGCACAGTTGGACCCCGCAGCAAGTGTATCATTCCCCCGCCCCGCACCTTGCCGACGTGGCCGCTGAAACGAATGGCGAGCCGAGTGGGGAAGGGCTGCAGGTCCTGCGGCTTGGGCAGCTTGGGGACCAGCGACTGCGGGTTGACGTGCAGCCGCTTCTTGCGCACCTGCGGGGGTGGGTCGGTCAAGCGTCATATTCGTGTAAGGTTGCTATGGTTTGAAGTTTGATTTGGTGTTGATGTTTGAGAGTGTAGGAGGGGGTGTTGGGGGGTATGGGAGTGGGGCAGCGATGCGAGAGGCGCCGGGAGGGCGGGCAGCAAAAGGGGACCAGGTGCAGGGTGCCAGGGGGGGGGATATCAAGTCTCTGTTGTTTGCAGCCGCCGGCACGCAGGGCTGGCGGGAGCCAGCGGAGCCGGGCCGGCCAGCAGGTCGCATGCGTGTTGCATCGCTTGTCGCGCCAGCTGGCGCCTGGGGCGTGCCGGGCGCACCCTGGGGCACAGGTAGAGGTCCAGGCAGCGCTCAAACTGCTCCTTTATGAAATCAGAGTACATGGGGACCTGAGCATTGGGGGAAAGGAAGGCAAAGAATTGCGGAGGCTTGAGGGTGCGAAGGTGGGAGGCTTTGGGGACGCGTCGGAGGAAAATACTGGGAAGGGGATGGGGCGCATGTGCAGAGAGGGCAGTGCGTGGCGGCGGGCGGCGGGCGTAGGGAGCGACGTCATATCCGACTGCGCCGCCGGCTGGCCAGCCGCGGCAACGGCCCGCTGGGGCTGGGGGCGTGGCATGGAGAGGATCCATCAGAGAACAAAGAGCACGGACTGCAGCACCGAGGTTCCTTGTCGCTCACACATACTTCAGGTTTTCCCCGCACCTCTCTGAGGCTGCTGTAGCCCTGCGGCACAAACTTGGGGCGCTCCTCCTCGTCCAGCAGCTGCCAGGAGGTGCGCTCCTCCTGTTTTCAAATTTGGGGTTGGGGAAGGTGGGTGGGTGATGGGTGACGGGTTAGATTGAGGAGGCGCGAGAGCGGAGATGAGGAAACGCGCTGCTCGTGGTGGGGCATTGCGGGGGACGGGTGCGGGGT